CTCCGCGCCGCGAGCCTGGAGCCGGGAGCCGAGAGCCCGAGCCAAGAGAGAGCGGCGCCTCGCGCCCCCGCCAGTTTTCCAGGCCGCCGCAGATTCCGCCCCCTGTGGCCAACCTGCGGAACTGCAGCGAGAGACCCGACGGACTGGAGGCGTCTCTACTTCGTCCAGCAAGGAATGTGTTTTAAGTGCTACCTGTGACACCAGAATTGTTCTGAGGAATTTGAAGATTGTCACAGAAACAAGATACAGTCATACCTATGAGGGAAGTCAAATGTGTTGGGCCAACAGGACCCGCATTATCCAGTCACAAAATCTTTATGAAGGTTATAATGCACAGTGTTGGTTATCCTACTTCTCAGATGTTCTCCCCTTCTTCTTTCTTCCATCGCCTAGATCAGAAAATTCCCCAAAGCTCAGACCTTTGCTCCTCCTTTGTGCCCCTTCCAGGTCATCTCTAAGCAGGCAACGTCCAAATATACTAGTATATCCCTGGCCCAGACTTCTTAGCTAATAAACCCTATTGTTAACACAACACTGCGTGGCAAAACTAACTAATCATCATTTCACACAGCCACTCAGAATTGAAACTTCAAAGCCATATGCTTTCTTCTCTCTTAATCTCTGTATCCAATCATTCAGCAAATTTTGTTAATGTTTTCTTTGGAATTACTTTTAGATTCCTTGTTTTCTCTCCATTCTCACTGTCATCACTCTATTCTAAGCCCTTGTGATATCTTATCTGGGTTACTGCATGTTCCACAAATAAATCCTGTTAGCTTTAATCTCCCCTTAGACCTTTCTTTTCTGTTGACAGCCATAAAAATATTTCACCCAAGGTAATCTTTTGATTGTGTTATTTATTCATTTGCTCCAGAATCTACAATAGACTAGCTATCAAGACTGACTTTAAGCCTATAGTAATTAAGAGTGTAGGATGGAGATAGACCAATGGAACTGACTACAGAGCCCCCAAACAGACCCATACGTATATGGAAAGTTGATATTCAGTATATATGGCATTTTGAATCAGTGGGAAATAATGGATTATCCACTAAGTGGTCCTGGGACTAGTTGATTATCTGTATGGAAAATTATAAAATTATATCCCCACCTCACACCATAGAGGAAAAATCTATTCCAGGTATATTAAAGATCTAAATGTGAAAAGTAAAATTTTACAACTTTCAGAAGAAAACAGGAGAATATCTTTATGAGCTTGGAACAGGGGATGAGAATGATACATTTAGCTACATTAAATTTCAAAATGTATGTACTTCAAGACAATATAAATAAGTTAAAAGACAAGCCTTGAACTGGGAGATGATATTTTCAATACATATTATCAACAGAGGATACTCTGTAAGGTTCTGTACTTCTAGCTGTCATCGCCTTTCTGACTTCCTCTCCCACAACTCTCTCCAACTCACTCTGCTTACTCACACTGGCTCCTTGCTGTTCCTAGGACTTGCCAGGTATATTCTTGCCTCAGGGCCTTTGCACTTGCTGTTTACTTTGTCTGCAGTCCCACTTCTTTGTTCCGATGTCACTTTCTCAGTGAGCCCTTCCTAGACTACTTTATTTAAAATTGCAATTCAACAATCCCCTTCTCTACCACCATACACACACGTTCTCTGTCCTTCCCAGTTTTTTCCCCCCATAGGACTTATTACTATCCACTATTCTATTTTACCTGGCAATCTTGTCTATCATTTACCTTACCCCACTAGAATGTAAGTTCCATGATGGCAAAGATTTTTGTCTGTTTTGTTCATAAGCATTCTCAGTGCCTAGAATCATTCCTGGAACAAAGTAGATGCTGGAAAAATATCAATTAAATGAATGAATGAATAAATGAGTGAATAAATGAATTAGTATTCAGGATGTATAAAAGCAGCTATAAATAAATAAGAAAAAGAAAGGAACCTAGTAGAAAAACTGACAAAATATATGAATAAGCAATTCATAGTCAAGGAAACCCAAGTGACCAATAAAGACATGAAAAGATGCCTAAATTTATTTCTATTCAGGGAAATCTTAAAAAGCCATAAGATACCATTTCAGAACCATTGGTTTGTCAAAAATGTAAAAAGTCAAACAACATCAAGTGTTGTTGAGGATGTAGAACTCTGATCTACTACTGATAGAAGAAGTGTAAGTTGGTAGAACTGATGTGAAGAACAATTTGATGGTGTCTAATAAAGTTGAATATATCATACCCTTCAACCCAGAAATTCCATTTCTAGGTATAGAGTCAGGCAAAACTCTAACCTTTGTGCACAATGAGACATATAAAAGAATGATCATTGAAGTATTATTTGCAATCTCAAAAATAATGAAAGCAAATTAAATGTCTGTCAGCAGGCGAATAGATAAAGCACAGTTTTCATTAGACTGAATACTATTTTGAAATTAAAATGAATGAATTCAAGCTGTATGTGGTACCAGAGTTAAATATCACAAATATAATGTTGAGCAAAAAGCAAATTGCAAAACATGTACAGTATACTATTTATGTAAAGTCTGAAAATATCATCTGCTGCTTAAGACTACATTGATATGTAGTGATGGTATATAAAACATGATAGGTCATGATCACCAAGTTTAAGGGAGGAAGAAGATTGAGACTAGGGAGGAGCATACAGGGAATATCAACTATATCTGTAATGTTTATTTCTTGAAATACAATTTGAAAGTTGATGTTTCAAGATTTGGTAGAACTGGGTGGTGGGTACATATATTGGTTATGATGTTACTCCATGTATTTCCCTTCAGTGGAAATAATTTACAGTCAATGAAAATAAAAAATAAAGGCTAGGAAGGGGAGGGTTAGCAGTGTCGAATGCTGAAAATAGGACAAGGAAAATGAGGGTCAAGGGATTTTTTTGGATGTGTTAAGGAGTTCACTGGAGACCACTAAATGTGTGGTTTCAATAAATGGTGAGGATAGAAACAAGATTATGGGGAAATGAGGAGGGGCTGTATCGTGAGGAAATGGAGATGAGAGACCACGTATTGAAAAGGTTTGGAAATAAAAAGGAGAGAAATACAATTTTAATTAAATTACTTAGATGGATCAAACAGAAGTTCTTGATAAAGCCTGAAGTCACTTTATATTCTTTTTATTTTTATTTTTTTTAGTTTAGAACTTAAAAATGTAATGAGGTTTTATTTCAGAATAAATATTACAAATGTTTAGTAAGCCATTTTGCATTAAAGATATATAAATTGAAAAAAAAAAAAGACCAACGAGGAAGGGGAAGAGCAAGGCCTTCTGGAAACCAGCAGGACATTAGCCCCAGGCGTGTGCATGTTGCAGGACTTGGAAAGTCTTTTTTTTCCCCTACCTCTGTGCTACCATAGGGGAGGCTAAACTCCTGAAGTCACTTTAAAATAAAGGGGAAGAAGCCAGCAACGAGGGGAGCATTTAAGATATTAGAAGAGGGAGGCAAAAAGATTGCAAGGAAGATCCTCAGTAATCAGGAAGGACATTTCACATTCAAGGTGAAAATGGAGGAACCAGCCTCAGAGAAAGGACGAGACACTTCTTCCTCCAAGTCTATAGTATCCCCAGAACCTAAAACAGTGCCTGGCATATAGTGGGTACTCAAATGCTTGAATTTTTTTTTTTTTTCTTTTGGCCTTTTTTGTGACCGGTAAGGGGATCGCAACCCTTGGCGTGGTGTTGTCCGCACCGCACTCAGCCAGTGAGCGCACCGGCCATTCCCATATAGGATCCGAACCCGCGGCGGGAGCGCCACTGCACTCCCAGCGCCGCACTCTCCCGAGTGAGCCATGGGGTCGGCCCAAATGCTTGAATTTTTTTTTTGTGGCCGGCTGGTACAGGGATCAAACCCCAGACATTGGTGTTATCAGCACCACGCTCTAACCAACTAAGCTAACCAGCCAGGCTTTTTTTCTTTTCTTTTCTTTTTTTTTTTTGTCAAATATCTGTTAAGTGAAGAAAAAGAATTGTGTAGAAATTAAAATATATTGATGTAAGGACACTAAAAACTGAGGTCCCTCACAGGGGAAATGATTGCATATAAGAGATATTCACTGCAAAGAATTAAATGGTCACTGAACAAAATTCAAGTAAATGAAACTGTGACTCCAAGAAAACATGAATCTCACCACCTTTACCACACACACACACACACACACACACACACACACACACACACGATTAAATAGTTGCTTAGTGTCTGTTTTTCTCCATATGACAACTATCACTACACCTCTAGGACTTACAGGCTTTTCAGAGACAAAATAAAAAATCGAGATCTTAAAAAAGGCCATACAGTACTAAAACCCCTTCCCCCCAACAAACTAAAAAATAATAATTTAATTAAATGGCTACAAAATATAGTAGAACTGACTTCATTCATTGTTAAATTTAGTATTTATTTTAAAACCCATTAAAAAAATATATATATATATTTGTGTGTGTGTGTGTGTGTGGCTGGCCAATACGGGGATCTGAGCCCTTGACCTTGGTGTTATAACACCACGCTCTAACCAACTGACCTAACCAGTCAGCCTTCCCATTATGTTTCAAAACAATTTTTAGGTTAGATTTTCCCACTTCCCAAGAATCTCCAAGTATTCATAATTATTATGGAGAAATCATAGCCATTATGAATTAAATTAATTATGCAGAGACAAATAATTTCAAAAGCAAAATTACAAAAGCCCTTTCAAAAATTTATAGCAAAAATATAAACGTTTAAATGCAGGATGCAGATACATTTAAATACGTTTAATATGATGCTGGTTGAAGCCTCCACAAGTGAGAGTGCTTAGGGCCTGCGAAGGCAAAAACAGGCCTGCTTAACACACATGAGGCTGGGAAGGCTGATTTCGCGTAGGTGAGTCAGCAGCCAGAGGCTGTACGGCAGGCAGAGCAGAAGCATAAATGATTCATTGATTTTTAAATTGCCACAAGTTGAAAAGCCTTGTTTTTCATATACACAAACCCAACATAGATATTGCTTTCCATACAGAGCAGCATAAAGAAGAGCTCCTTTTTATTTACGTATTTCTATTTTACATTTATATGATGTATTTCTATTTTATTTACGTTTTCATTCCTTATAGAACTTGAGGTGAGAAAGGCTCATTACCCAGGGCCACAGCCTATCATCTGCACTCCTAGTGAGATGGTGACAGGCACAGCAGGTAGGAGAAACTGGCCTCCTTTGGCACACGATGCCCTCCAGACCTTCCTTCTCCCCTTTAAGTCTCACCTTCCCTTTGTTACTTTATTTCTACCCTGGCTAGTCTTTTAATTCCCTTCACCTTCCACCCCTATTTCACTCTCCTAGCTTTGGCTCTCCTTTCTGCTTAGTGAATCCCAAAGTCAAGTCCAGCATTGTTTGGGCCTACTTGCCTCCTCCTCTCAGAAACTGGAGATGCTGAACTGAAAAAGTATGGAGTTGGCCTGGCATTTAAGGTTCCAAGGATCTGTTCTGCATGTATCTTTCCAGAGTTATCTCTCCAGACTGCTCTTTACAGGCTTTACGCTCTGCCCATCATTTCCCTTTGCAAATGAACATGTGCAGCAGTTAGTGGCAATCAGATGGGTGCGCTCACGACTCAAGTACTCGGTTTGATCACCTAGCTGAACACCGCTAGCTTGCCATTTTGGTCTTGACTTTTTTAGAGTGTTAAATTATAAAAAATGGTCATAAGCCATTTAATATATATTCACAAAAGATCAAAGAGAGGCCAATGTTGAAATACAGAGCATAAAAATGATAAAAATTCTACAAATTCTCAAAATGACACTCATCAGCCCCATTTATCTGATCGAAATTCTTAAATAGCACATAAAATTCTCTCATGTACTTTTGGAAACCTTGAAAGGGAAAATAAGAGTTATGGCTAAATTCAGTTTTGTTTCTCACTTATTGGGAATAAAAATTATTCACATCTGTAAAGTAAAAGCAAAGTAAAATGATGAGATTAGAGATCTCATCGTTTACAAACAAAACATGAAAATTATTAAAGTAAGCAAATTGGTAATTTTTAAAGCCCTAAATTCAAGAATTTCAAACATCAGGTCTTGAAAGCAGTTTTTGCCTATTTGTGAATGCTGCAAGATCTAGTAACATTTAATCTACACTGTGATGGATATAGTGGAATGACCTATGAAGATTGCCTGAGCTCCCCTCTACCCTCAACCTTGTGACTCAGATCTCTCTGCAAGCAGTGAGATATGAGGTTGGTCTCACCTCCAATGCAGGTGTCACGAAGGAAGGGAAGAACATATTCTTAGTTTTTAGGTTATTATTTTAAGTCTCAGTTCAGGGTGTAAGACAGAAGGATTTGGGAAAAGTTCCTGCTGAGCAAGACTTGTTATGTTCCTCACCCCATCCCTCCACTCCCAG